ATAACTTCAGAGGCACTCTGCAGCGTGCTCAAAGCTCTTCGACTTGGGCGGAAGTCGCACGGAATTTTAAACGGCCAGCGAGCCAATTACTAGCCGCCACGTGTGAATAATTTAGCACTGGCCAATAGCGGGGCACAAATTTACATCCGAATAGCGGGAACTCTTTGCACCATGCATTTCTGTGCTGCAAAGAAGAAATGCATCCTGCAAAGGAAACTGTAAATTGGCGGGAACTCTCTCCTGCACGCGGGCTCTCAATTGCAGCAGAACACTCTGCCGTGCAAAGAAGCTCTCATGTGGCCAGGAAATTCCATAGTGCCGAGCCACAAAAATCACTGGGTTGTGACACAGAGTAGCACCTGCTCATTTCACAGCTAACCTTCCCTGATGGCCATTCCACTATCTGCCACCTGTGGACGTGCTGGGTAGCAGCACAGTTCTGCCCCACAGATCCTCTTAATACTATTATGGGGTACAAAGTTTCTTAATTTTTGCCTTTAAGATGATGAAGGCAGACTAAATTACTTGCCCAAAGTCACTCAAATTATGACAGACAACACCGAGCTTGGGTCTCCTGATGGGAGATCTCCTAGATGGGGATCTACCATCCATTCCACTATGCTTTCCTTCCTATGCTTAGCACCACCATTCTGGAAGATAATGAATGCTTTTAATCAGTACTTCATGCTAGTCCATCTTATTTTAAAATAATATAGTCACCCAGACCAGCTGTACAATTGACACAAATAATTTGAGCTCTTCAAATTGCCATTTAGATTTAACATAATTTTCCCCCCATATCTACTCATTTGCAAAATGGTTTAAAGTAAGGTAATATTTTGTGGTAATGGGAACCATATGAACTTATATCTGCCGTTAGTAAAAAATAGCAAGATGACCATTGCAGTCAAATGAAAAGGCTAGCAAAGAATACAGGGAATGTGTGTGCATGAAAAATAAGAAATTACAATGAAGAGAAAGACTGAGGAGCTTTCAGATAGTATAGGATTTGTCAAGAAAACCTGTGGGAGTTAGATGTATTTGGGTGGTGTATGGGCCCTAACTTCATTATTGCAATTATGTTGGCAACAATTCCAATAGTTGGGGTACCCACAAATAACAACAGCTTTCTGCAGCCCAGTTTGCACCATAATAACAACTCTCTAACTAACTGGTGGGAAAAAAACATTTCTGGCCTACAGTGAAGAACTGGTTAATTATTGAAATGACATCTTAGACCAGTGATCCTCAACCAGGTACCATGGCACCTTGGGTGCCTTGAGATTTTTTTTTCAAGAGAATTACAGGGTGCAGCACAATATTAGCACTATTAGGTGTGCAAATATGATTTACAAGCTAAACCCAAAGATTTCCAATAGGAATTCATGGTATTAAAATCATCTTCACCTGTCATGGTTCTTTGCAACAAGAATTGTTCTATTATTTTTCATTAGTTAAAATTGATTGAAAACCAAGTGCCGGCATTTTCTTAGGGGTACCTTGATTCTAACCAGGAGTACCTTGAGTGTAAAAAGGGTGAGAAAAAGGGCTTTATTAATTTTCACCAGAATTCACACTAAGAACGTGTAAGACCTTGGGTAATTACTATGTGAGAGAAGCAAGGCAAAAAGTTTAATGGCTGTGATGTGACTTCACTGTTACAATGTGCCACAAGCTTCAGATCAGCAAACAAACAAAAAAAAAAATTACTGGTTCACTATTGTTGATCTTACATTTCCGTTTTAATTAACCTTCCTTATGCAGCTGAATAAGCTGTGGAATGCAGAGCAGTATATTTAAAAGTTCTGGGAGATATCCTTGGCTGTTGCAAAGTAGAATAGCTCCTTTGTCTTTGCTGGAGTGATGCAGGATAACATGTTAGGAACTAGTCATTCATTAAAAGAAGATACTTTCTGCTTCTAGCAAGATTGGTTGGATGATGTACCAAATCAGGAGGCAGCCCAGCATCCTGGATCAAAATCTAGATCACAGTAAATAGAGTGAATCACTTTTTTTTCCAGGATTCACATTTTCACATAAATAACATTTTCTAAAAACAACATATTTTCTAGCTTGTTCTCAATCAAGCCCATAGTTATTAAAAAGGAAATGTATTCATTAATGTGTGCAGGATCAGGTTCATTGTTTTGAAAGTTTTCTGAGCTGCATGAACATGCAAGGTCTAAAATAAACCTTGTTAACTTATTAACATATCATTAGCATTATTATCAACTTACTGTACAAAACAGCAAATTAAACTAAAAGTCACGGGACATACGGGACAAAGTGTGGTTTTCCTGAATACTACAAGCAATTAGGGGCATGCAAAATGGGCTTTATTTGACTGAGATTCGGCCCAAATTGGGGACAGTGATTCGATTAATTGATTCACTGTCCCCAATTTGATTTGGATGAATCAAAATCTGAAGATTAGATGCTGATTTGGAGAATCAGCTATTTGGCCAGAGACACAGCTTTAAATGTTTTTTCTACATACCTTGAGGCACCAGGCATGGCTCCTGAGTGCTGAGATGGTGGGGCAGATGGAGTATCCCACAGGAGCATTTGGGGGGGGGGGGGGGGCGCCCCAGCATCCTTGGTGGCGGACCCAGAAGTGGACCAGAAATACTTCCGGTCCACTTCTGGGTCTACCACCAACTGTGCCGACCCTGGTTTGGCGATTGGCTGTGGGGGGCCCCCAGATCCTCCCACAAATCCAGGAGGCACCAGTTGCCAAGCTGGGAAGATGCAGGGAGGGGGGCCCAACGTGCTCCCTGGCAGACCCACGAATAGACCAGAAGTGCTTCTAGTCCACCTCTGGGTCTGCTGCCAAGCATGCTGGGGAGCCCTCCACACTCCTGTGGGATGCTCCATCCACCCCAGCATCTCAGCATTCATGAGCTGCCAGGTACCTTGAAGTATGTAGAAAAAACATTTAAAGTCCGAATCGCCGAATCTTTCCGAATCCATTTGGAGAGTTCTGATTCAATTCAGTCTCCTAATTCAATTCAGATTCAGAGATGCACCCACCAAATTGGGCTGAATCTCTGCCGAATTGAAATCAGAAACTGAAGCTTTGCACAGCCTTATAAGCAATTATACTTAATGATACATTATACTGACAGAGTCTGTGTCATTGCACATATACCATAGAGAATGCAGAACCAGACCCTTGGCCTGCCTTAAAAATCCTTCAGCCATGCAAAATGAACTGAAAGCTTCCTTAATGGGCCACCGTTGATTCCCTTGCCATCTTTGTGCTAGCAAACTAGCTTAGTCAGCAACACACTACGCTTTCCCTTATTTCAGCAGAGGGGGTATTTCAGGGTAGGCAGTCATGGCAGGAGTGTATTGCATTCTGGGAATGCTGTGCTGATGGAACTGTCTATAGGAGCCCCATCCAGCTGGCATCAGATAAAGCAGTCCCTGTGGCTATTCTCACTTGGCTGGGGACTGGTTTCTAGCCAGCTCTAGATTCAGAAGAAGCATGAGCTCAGCACAGCTGAATATTGAGCCCATAATGCTGAAAAGAAATATTCCAAGAAAGAATATACAAAACACAGAAAAATGGTTATCAAAGTTTAACTTTGGGTATTATGCCATAAAATGAGCTCTATATAACATTTAGTTAAAACCAAATACCAGTGGGATTATAAATCCTTTGCCTTGAAGTGTAGCATGTTGGCTTGAAGTATAAATGCTATTATGGAAGAGTTATTTCATTGCATGACAATTGAAATAAATGTTGTGGAAGCATTTACATATGTTCCTTTGGATGTTACTATTACCCTTGCTTTGATCGGATACAAGCAAGATACTTTCCATAACTTTTAAAAATCACTTCTAAACCTTTTTTTTATTAATTCCTTTAACACAATCTGTTTCCTTCCTGTGATCAATCTCTCTCTCGCTCACTCTCTCCCCCCTACACACCAAGTATATTTAGAAACACATTCCCAAAAAACACCAGCATTCTGTTCCAGGATCTCACATGGTCTGATTTTTGTCCTGCAAAGCATTATTTCCTTAAAAATTGTTAAAGATTACATGGACTCTAAAAACAGATTGGGAACAAAGGAAGAAAGTTAAGACATGTTTTGTGTAGATTTTTATAGAAGTGAATCCCAAAGATCGACTTAGACTATAAGTTCTTTGGAAATAGCCAACAATTAGCCCAACAAATAACTGTTTAATTTTTTTTTTTTTTTCTTAAAAAGTGTTCTTCAAGGGGAATTAGATTTTTTCACAAAAGAGATGTTTTCATGAAAAGGTGCCCAATGTTGGTTCTTCAGTACGAAAGCAAAAGAATTTGAAGGAAAATTGTTGCTGAAAATAAAAATAGTTTTCATCATCAAGGTCTGTGGGCTTGGAAAAAATCTTTTTCCCAACTAGATCTAATATTAATCGCAATAATTAGCTGCTGCTTTCAGCTTATTCCAGGAACATGCCTGAAATATTCCAAGACAGCAGCTGACATCAGTTCACAAGGGTCAACATTTTTAACCATCTTGATTATAGTTTCTAATCTGAGTAGGTCTGAAAATATTTCTTATAGAACAAGTCTTTAAAAAAAAAAAAGAAAATGAAGTGGAAGTCAAGGGATTTTGGCCACATCCAGATATGCAGGCTTGTGTGGTTTGTGGCACCAGACACCTCTCTGTGGTGCCACAAACTGCACACGTGGAACATTAAAATGTGCCCCGTGCTGCAAATTTGCAGTGTGGGGGCAAACTTTACTACTTGGAAAAAAGCACCAGGAAAAAAAGTGGCACAGAGCACATGAAAAAGAGCGTGTACCAGAACAAGTGGAGGCTTAGCCCTCCAGTGAGACACTCTGGCTGCTGGTCAGAGCATCTCTACTGCCCCATTTGTGCAAGGCAGGAGCCAGGAGGAGCTAGGCAAGGGCAGTTTGACTAAAGCAGGACAAGGTGTCTGTCTGCAAACAAAGTGCATGTGCAGGAGCATGTGCTGAGCACAATGTAGCAGCACAAATTTGTGTCACTACTCGTGCCACTGCATATCTGGATGTGGTCTTTGTGGGAATACATTGATTCAATCAAAAGCTTTGATGGAAAGAGGCAGATTGCCTGTCCAGTCAGCCTGCCTCATTTTCTATCAGGTCTGGTTCTCCAGGTTGTCTGTTTTCCTAGGCCACTGATCTCCTCAAGGCTTTGATGCCCTGAGTAGCTTTCTTCTCGGACACTAAGCTCCAGGAGTCCCCCAGTAGCTGGCTACCAGCCAGCCAGTTCTGTGTCTTGAGACTCCACAGCCCACTTGGCAGACAGGCTTCGGATCCAGGACCCTCCAAGCTCTCAAGGTCCACAGGTCCCTTATCAATCTTTTCTGCAGCTCCTTTGGTAGTCAAGGTGCTGGGACAGGAAATTGCCAATGTTCACCTCAGAAGTATAGTTTTATGAAAAAGTCTTTGAGATGGAAAACTTTGTAACTTTGTATATTCTCCCTCCTCTCCCCTGCAGCCTCCCCCCAGTCAACGTAGAACATTGTCCCATCAGAAATTTGACATTTTCCACTATACGGAAACCCTGGTTTCTGAACAATCTGATTACCAGTTTTGACAGGTGACGGATGAACACCCTGCATTAGATTCCCACATTTACACCAAAACATGGGTAAAGGATTACCTAGTCTCTGTGATATGCCACTTGCTTGGAAAAAAAAAAAAAAAAGAATGGGAGAAAAATAGTTTAAACAATATATTTATATTCATCTGCAAGCAAGCTCTCATACTATTTAAATCAGTATTGTAGCTTGGCAAATTATTTGCAGCTAGTAATTTTTTCAATAATGTTAGTTTTTTCCACTCTGCAAAATGTGTGTAAACAAGCTTCAGTTTTAGTGAATGTATTAGTTATTTCAAATGTTTGGCTGTGTATTTGAATGGTCCATACTTCATTTAATGGCTTATCTGTGAGCTATTCATTTCAACTCTTGTCTTCCACTATTCATTAGTCACTGTCAATGGTGTGTGATCGGTCACATGGGATATTATTTCTCTCCTTGATTAAATGAGTAAGACTTTTCAAACAGGAGGTTGAAGTCAAACACATTTCAAAAACCTTGGAGACCATATCTAGCATGAAACAGCACATAAATATTCTTGTAGAAAAATAAACTGGAACAATCACTTACATGATTGTCTAAAATTAAAGGAAAGTTTGGACATTTTCTGTCACACATGCTTTTTCAGCAGAATATGTAGTTTTTCATTACAAATTTCTGCTTTCATAGAAGTCATACAGAAGTACGGTTGAAATGGACCTCCAAAGGTCATTTAGTCCAAACATCTGCCCGAGGAAGGATCATCCTTATCCAAACCATCCTATACAACCATAACCTAATCTCTAGAAAAGACTACCCTCAATCCTGAGACAACATAGACCTAACACGCTAACCTGCCACAAGTAAAGCACAGGAAAACACGGAAGGTTTCCATGGAAACTTAAGTTTCTGTTGAAAAACGGAATGATTTCAATTTAGAAATGCTGCATAACCTTATGGGCCACATCCACACAAGCGAAGATGTTTAGTTCCCCAGGGGCAAGAATCAGCGGCACACTGTGTGCTGTTGGCAGCTGTCCCTGGGGAATGCTTGTGCCATGCTCCCTCTGGGAGATCCCAGTGTCAAAAAAATTACCAGAAATAAAAGTGGTGTAGTGCACACTCCAGGAGCATGCACCAGCAGACAGAGGCTGGGTCCTCCAGGGAGATGCTCTGGCTACCAACCAGAGCGTCTCCTTTAGTTATCCTCCAGCTCCTTCAGCATGCCAGGAGATGGCAGGTATGGGGAAACAGCTGTTTCTCTGAAGCGGGGCATTTTGCCCCACACCAAACCCCATGTGCAGTGATGTGCACAGCAGCAAAAGGGAGTGGCACAAGTTTGTGCTGCTGCTATTTTTCCTATGGCAAATGCAAGCCCCTGCATGTGCATGTGGAGGTGCCCTTGTCTATTGGCCAGCCAGA